ACTCCATAAAAAAATAACATTTATAAGTAATTGGTTATCAATGTCAGCTGTATAAACAAATTCCAAATTTGATATACCATATAATTTCGGAGTATAAGATGCACCTTTGTCCCTCAAAAAAGAGGCTGAAAATCTGTGTGTTTTATACATTGAATACAGCAGTTTTTGCCTCCTGAAACCCCGCCCCTTCACCAAAATGGCCGTGCATAGCTTTTAGGAGGCTTTCAAAGAGCTCCTGAGAGCTGGGGAGGGCAGAAATTTTGCCCCCCCCCCCAACCTCCAGGAGCACTCTATAACCCTCCTAAAGGTTATCCATGTCCTTTTTTTGACAAAAAACGGGCCCATTTTCACAAAAAATGTTTTTTTTTTCATTTTTTGCCCCACCCCACCCCACAGGAGCACTCTACAACTTTCCTAAAGGCTATTCATGCCCCCCCTTTTTTTGGGAGGGAAAAACGGGGTCGTTTTTGGGAGGTTTGCAGAGTGAAAAAACTATTTTAAAAAAATTTGCCTCTTCAAAACCTTGGTGTGTCTTATACTCTGGTGCATCTTATACTTCGAAAAATACGGTAATCTGAAATAACATTTTTTTTCAGCATTGCACATATTAACAAAGGCAATTCAAAAGACCGAAATAGTCATTCTTTATAACATTAGTTTAAATATTCCTGTCTAGGTATCATTTTAGATTATTTTGAGCTAGTCACTCTCTCCCAGTCCAATTCACCTCACACAACTGTGGGGAAAACAGAAGGCAGAAACATGTACACCACCTTGATTTGCACTAAATCAAAATAGGATGTAAATCAAATAAATAAATATACGACTAATTCAGCTTTTGCAAATGCACATATGTGAGAACCTGGGAGTCATGTTGGTTGCAAAATTGTGACAGGCATGAAGTTTTGCTTTTGCCTATAAAACTTAAGAAATTATAGTACAATATGAATGAATTAGATCAGAATAGCTCAATCATGCCTGAGGGTAAATGATGTAACCTATGTTTCAAGCTGTTTGTACTTATCCATTAAAATGACTTTTCAAAAATGTAAAAGGAATTAAAACTATAAAGCATAATCAAGTGAAAATTTGTTTCATGGGCATACATACCTACATTTCCAATATCTCCCTGATGGAACTTTTTCAAATGAAGGATTTGGGGACTTTGAATAATGCTTTCTAACCCAGTCAATCAAGAACTGTTTGGGAGATTTTCCAGTCCAGCTTCGAGCTGTATAATCAAAATTCCTTACATCCTGGGGATCTTTCTTTTTCACTAATATCAGCAGCAGAAAAAAAGTTATTTGTACATAGGAGGATAGAGACCATTACCAGAGTTGGAGAATTAATTCTAAATCTACATTTCAATATAAACAAATTTTAATGTAAGCTCTGAAAAGCAGGCATAATTAATGTACGTGCTGAGCTGGAATTCCAAGTAATTCTAGTATTGACCCTAGAGTCTAGTACTTCATTATTAGTTTTTACAGGGTACAAAAGGTTAATTTGTAATTTGAAAAAAAAATCATTAAATTATGCCTTAATTAGAAAATCAAGGACATGATGGTAGTTCAAATTTCGAGGGTCAATCCTTTTTTAGAGTGTCCATATTTGAATTATAGAAGTATTGCCTCTAATTATACTTGCATTAAATAATGCCTTCATTTATCATGCTACATTCTGCAAGAAAGGGTGCCCATAATTCAAATAAAATTGGAATGGCATTTAAAAAAATGCTATGGAAAAAGCTTGGCTATTTAACAAATGCTAAATAATATAAAAGCCTGCTCGACTTCCATCTTATATGGTAATGAGTATATTTATCTATAAGCATACTTCTTTTAAATCTGCTAGATTTCCTATTTCCAAAGAAATGAGAAAAAAGCCATTAGAGCTGCTCTGTTTTAGTTTCAGTTTTTAGAAGGGTTTGGCATCAATTTTTAGGGGGCTGGATTGAATTTGCTCCTTTCCGGGTGTTTTCTATGAAGAAAGCTCTAGAGACCCACTTTTTTTTTTTAATGATTGATTTGTTCAGGTATTGGCCTGGAAATCTTTTTAGACTTATAGGGAAGACTGTGTTGTGGGACTCTGTTTGTCTTTCTGTATTAAGAATGCCTGATGGCGAGAAATTATTCCCATCAGAGAAGAAAAAATGAGAAAAGTTGTTATGATTCATAATTAGTGAGATGGGATGATTCTAAGTTAGGGGTGTCAAGACCAGATCCAGTCTGTGGGGTACTTAGATCTGGCCTGCAGGGCCACATTGGAAACAGTGAAGGATTGGCCTGTGTGCTTCTGCCATCAAAAACGGAGCTCGGGAGGCTAGGTTTTAGGCTGTAGCTTTTTAAAAGTTTTAAAACTAATTTTTAATCATAACTACTTTTCTCATTTTTTCTTCTCTGATGGAAATAATTTCTCGCCATCAGGCATTCTTAATACAGAAAGACAAACAGAGTCCCACAACACAGTCTTCCCTATAAGTCTAAAAAGATTTCCAGACCAATACCTGAACAAATCAATCATGAAAAAAAAAAGGGTCTCTAGAGGTTTCTTCATAGAAAACACCTGGAAAGGAGCAAATTCAATCCAGCCCCCTAAAAATTGATGCCAAACCCTTCTAAAAACTGAAACTAAAACAGAGCAGCTCTAATGGCTTTTTTCTCATTTCTTT